AATCACTGTATCAAAATATTCAGTACTCCCTTGTAATGGTGTGCATGGATGGATCATAAGGAGTATTCCCAGCATGCACTCTGTTTTAAAAACCTGTTAAGCTGAGTATTAAAGAAATAATTCACCCAAAAAATGAAAATTTGTGGAAAATGTACTCTCCCTCAGGCCATCCTAGACGAATATGTTTCTTCACTGGAACAGATTTGAAGAAATTTAACATGACATCCCTTGTTAACCAATGGATCCTCTGCATTGAATGGGTGCCGTCAGAATGAGAGTTCAAAGAGCTAATAAAAACATAACAAAAATACAATTCAGACTGTTACTTCCAGCCTCTGTTGATAAAAATGTTGGTGGATTTTGATGTAAGAAGATAACATGGGATGGACTTTTTTCACAAATATTGTGATAGTTTTATCAGCTGACGGCACTCGTTCGCATCACTGCAGAGGATCCACTGGTGAGCAAGTGATGCAATGATAATTTTTCAACAAATCTTTTTTGATGACAAGACAAGCTCATCTACATCTTGGCTGGCCTGAGGGTGAATTTGAAGCAAATTTTTATTTTGCAGTGAACCATTTCTTTAGGGCAGCATCTTAACTGATTTGAAACAAGTTAGCAACACAAGGCTAATTTGGTGTTAGCATGTTGCTAGGCTAACAAAATAATACTGTAATAAGCATAAAAATATATACAATAGCGCACACAAATATTTAGTATAATTTATGTTTTTTAATTAGACTGAATTATTTTTATCAATGATTTCAGCATTGCATAAATTATATATACCATCTTACAACACCTTTTATTGAAGAATACATGTGATGTGTTTTTTTTTCTTTCCTTTTCTTTTTTCCTTTGGTTCAGAAAAAGATCTTTGAAGGCAGAATAAGCATGCTTCCTACCTTTTCAAACAGCCGTAGCATTGGGTTTGTGCCTATGATTTCTTCAAGTGCTGCCTATGTTGGCAGCTTGCTAGCGTTTGGAACAGAGCCGCATTGTGAGTCACAAGGGTTGTTCAGGACACACAGGAGTTTATTATTATGTTCAAATTGTTACTTACCCTCCGTTTCTCTTTCAGCTTAATTTAATGAATGTAATGTCTATCCTAACAGCTTCTTAACTGGTATGTTTTGTCTTACAAGTAGTTCATAACAGTGTTATCAAACTGAAGGCTTTTCACACGAGTTAATTTTTTTTTTGTCCGTATCCATTTTTTGATTCCTCCTCTGACTGATTTATATTATTTGACTCCAAACTGCAGTAGATTTCATTTGCATCATCGATATGATACAGTGCAAGCAACTGTTTACAACTAGATACATAATGCTGTATTTTTAGAGGAGAAGGTAAAAGAAATGGAAACATTCACCTTTTTTACTCCCTTTGGTTTTACTACCATAAAGAAAAATGAATGAACAGCACTTATGTGTCTGATTTGTAATTGCTAAAATGCAATTTCTGTGGAGAATAGTAGCAATTAGAAATACATTATTGTATAATAGACATTTATACGTCATCAACATTGGTTCACTTCCACACATTAAACCCAACTGCATTCAAACCAACTGCATATCATGCTGAAGTCCAAATGAACCATGCCTCCTTCAGGCAAACTTGTGCACGCCAAAGTTCACAAAAAAAAGACCAAATTAACTAAAAGCTCTAGTGTGAAAACTCTGATTTCAACAGTAGTATAGTATGTTTTACTTTGTCATTTAAATATAAGTCAACAGTTCTTGTGGAAAGGATAGGGGAAATTAATTTACAGTGGTCTCTGTATTTTTGGCATGGCATGCAACAGATATTAAAGGTTAATGAAGGGCTCAGCTGTGCAATAGAGTGCATCTTTTATTGTACTGCCTATTCCACTGGTAATTTACCATGCAGAGGCCTCATATATAAAATCAAAATTCACCTCATTTATGCTATAAATATTTAGACGATACTGTAACATACAAGTCCATTTTTTGAACAGCAGCCTTAACTTTATTGTTTTGTTTTTTCATTCCTTTTCAGCCGGAAGACAACAAATAGATAAGACTGCATATGATTTCTTTGCCTGTCTCTGCTCGGCTCTTTGCCTGTGCTAGTCTGCATTATGACAGGAGCCCACTTTTCCCTCAGCTCTGTAATTGGAATGTGGGCTGGCAGTAGGTGTGAAGCAATAGGGTCTTGAAATTGTGTGGCAGCAGTCAGCCCTGGAGAACCTGTCAGAATTTGTAGAAAGGCAAGCCATGTGCTCCACTTTATTCAGAGGAAACGCTGCATTTTAATAGCTGTAAGCGTTTCAGTAATTCAAGGTGGCGTCATTAGAGGCTTATTTATTCACTCTGGGGCTGAGAGACTGATAATGCCTTCCCCGTCAGCTGTGGCAGCTCCATCTCAGCGCCTCCCGCCGAGGAGAGGAGGGAGAATTAGAGTGGAATGGGCAAACATGACAATCGTGCAGCAGTTAATGAATTAAACGGAAAACAAAGCATCAGGTTGTCTTGAATAGGGCCTTGGGGTAGGGCTTAACGTTGTCTTGTTTTTCTCTTGTCATCATTACCCTACCAATTGAACAGGCTGAGTGGAAATAAACAGGTTAAAAATAACTATGGCCGAAAGCGTCGAGGTTGACGCTCAGAAAGGATTCATAGAAGTCAAATCGTGGTCAGACCTTGAGCTTGAGATTAAATAACACGTGCTTTCATTATGAACTTAGTGATAGTTAAAAGAGCATACCGGTATGGGTTGTTGACCTTTGCATCTGTTTATGCTGCCGTGTTCAGTGGAGTGTCAAGGCATACCGGTCCTTTCGGCTTTTCAGCTACTTGAAAATACAGAGAGGGTTTCATTTCATCTGATAATATACTCTGTATTCACAGGTGGTACACACAAGACCAGTAATGAAAGTCAAAACTGTCTTGGGCTGTAATGAGAGATATTTTTCAATGCACCAAATCCTTGGGACTTTTTCCCCACCAACTTATAAGCTCAAAAAGCTCAATTGTTTCGACACAATTTTGCCATTATTGCATTGTAGAAGTAAAGAAGTGTCTGGAAAAAAAACAGTAATGAAAGACTTCAAATCTCAAGGTGAGCATTTACCGAGAAAGTTCTAGAATATATGGCAAGATTATGAAACTGCATGTTCAGTTTAAAGATCTGCAGAGGCCCCACATCTCATTTAAAAGGCCGGTACCTGACTCCTCAGGCATTGACTAATAGGGTCTTGATCCTGTTGAAGGCAGATATGATCAGGCGACGAATGCAACATTTTCCATTTGTGCTATCAGTGATTGTGGACATTTGTCAACAGTGGGAGGAAGTTCAAGTAAACCTGCAGTGAAGAGCATGACAGTCAGAGGAGTGCTTTCAAACAATGAAAGGGTTCATATTAGAATTTCAGCTCAACCATTTAGCGCCAGCAGATTATAAAAACCAAGATAAGAAAGACCTAAACTGGAGATCAAATAGTGTAGGAGTAAATAACATTGCTGTTTCTTTGCATGGTGACAAATGGCTGAATGTTTGGTGTCCTTATGCCCTCTTCAGCATGCTTTAAAGGATTTTGTTTTAATTCCGTCAGTGTCTTGTTTTCTTCTAATTGATTTCCCCCAGATGAGTATTGCTTATTCTATAATAGCGATCATTCATGATTATATATATTGTGTCTGGTTATGCATGGATGCAATGGGGAGTCTGCCCGTCAGGAGAACTATTAATTGACATTTAAATAAAATAAAAGTTAATTACAACTCCATTTACTGTTTGAGAAGAACATATATAAATAGCTCTTGAGAAAGTTTGGTCATTATACATGAATCTTCAGTAATGCATGGTGTTTAGAATGTTATATTGTGAGGAGGGAGTCAAAGAATCAGAACCAGTTTAGTTAAATGCAATCCACTTCAAACAACCTGGCACAGAATCACAGTCAGACCTCAAAAAATGAACAAAGGGAATAGCTGATTTTGCAGAGTCCTGACAGTTTATTGCCTTTTTATGTAGGAAAGCAAAACCAGGAGGTCAGACATTTATTCATAAACCCCTTGACAACTGACATGGTGGTTTTGAGAAAGAGTGGAGGCCCTGTGTGATGAAAGGTGGAATAAAGATAGATTTACATCTAGATTTTTTTTTTTTTAGTTTGTAGCTGAGTGTGAGGTGCACCATCACACATTATATCATCATGCAACAGTGGCTAGTTACCCTCTATATATCTACCAGAAAACGATCAAGGTAGTTTTATCACCAAAATGTTCCATGAAGCATTCCAAATCAGACATTTCATTAGAAAATGTTTGACAATACCAAATAATTTCTTCTTTCTTATATTTTTTAGAGGTCCAAGCAGGAAACACTGGGAATCATACAAATTTTGTCAGCATTATTATGTTGTGGAAAATACTGAACCATGGTAGATAGCAGAAACGCCATTATAATGTAGTTATAGTTTTTGGTTATGCTTCATGAAACATTTTATATCACTAGGCTCCTTGGCTTATGGACTATGCATACCCATATTATCACTTATTAAATCATATTACACTTAGACTTTATAATTACACTTTATCCTGGAATTTTCATCCTGTCAGAATGAAACCAGTGGAATAAGATTTTCATATAAATGGCTGTAATTCCTTAATAAAATTGCAGATTTTCATGAAATTTGGCACAGATGCTTAGAACATCATTCTAAAGACAAATTACTGATTTTTGTGGGTTTTGGTCTTGCTGTAACAATGAAAATGACTTTTGCGTTGGGCAGATCTAAAACTACAGCTGCTTTTAGCCAATCAGCAATCATTAGACAATGTGAACAATGCCAAATAAAAGAAAACACTTATTCATTCAAAATATGAATGACAGACCTGTGACCTTATTGGGATAAAGTAGCATTGTGTTTTTGTCTCTTGTTGTTGTTCACATACTTGAATTTCTTGATCCAGGCTTTTGGCATTGAGCTCATTTGCAGCTTTGTGTATCTAACTGTTTGTTTTGTTCCACAGTTCCTCCCAAAATCTATGACATTTCATCGGACATTACGGTAAACGAAGGCAGCAATGTTTCATTCATCTGTTCAGCCAGTGGGAAACCAGAGCCCAAAATCTCTTGGAGACACATCTCCCCATCAGGTGAGTTCAAATCAGTTAAAATACGTCACAATAAGTTAGACAGAATTTGACATTGACTTCAAAACACAGCAGGAATGTCTGTCCAAGTTGTTCAGTGTGTTGGAGTTTAGAGGCTCAAAAGATTATGATGAAACTAAGATGTTTCTTTTTTAAACCCTCTATAGTGAACTGAGTTTAGGAAAAGGCTTTTAATCAATTATCGCTTCAATTTGCTGTTGTTCTCAGAAAGACTTCTTAGTTTTAAGTTATCACTCTGCTGCAGGGTAAACAACATGTGAGGGTACATCAACCTCATTTTTACCTTTCATAGTTTATATTCAGCTGTTAAAGCAAAAACTTTGGCATATTTTCAAAGCGAATTGAAAATTCAGTGCACAGCAGTATATTTGAGTGCATGTGAATTTTTATTGAAGTCAGCTGCACTTATCTTTGGACTGCTATATTTATTTCATTCTCCAGTGTGTTTTGTGATCGAATTGCTTTTTGAGATTCTAATCTAAAGACTTTGAAGTGTCATGAAACCACTACTTACCAAAGGTAGGATACTTCAAATTATAGAAACACTTAAAACCAGATGATAAGTGTGCCAGTAATTAAAAAAAAAAAAAAAAGTCCTCAGACAAACCGTCCTGCAAATGGTGAACTTTCACTTATGGTCAACAGATTCAGTCTGGCCCAGATGTGACTGAAAGCCATTTGTCTGAACTATTCTTCTTCAGCCTAATTAACTTCTGTGTGGGCAGAGAGAATGACAATGAGTTAGAGCCAGTGACAATAGAACATTTTTTTAAGATACTGCTGCTTCTGCCACTGAAGGTTGTGATGTACTGAAAAGATTAATTTACAGTATTTAAATAGTCGCTGTGATATTGTCAAGGATTCACATGCTGACAGAGAGCAAAGTCAAAACGACACAAAAACTGTGTTTGAAACTTCTACAAATGTACAAATGTATTCATTTTTTCTCTGGACAAGCCAATATGTTCAGACTGAATACATTATTGCACACCATCACGTGTAACAGTATTTGGTGCACATATGGCAGTACTGTGGTAATCGTCAGAGCTGTAATCACAGCAGCTCCTGGACTGTGATTTCCAGTGGTTCTTGAATGACCCTGCAGGAGGCTGAACCTGCAACCTAGCACCACTAGATTTAATTGCCGAAACACTCTTAAGTGCATTTGGCCTTATACGTGTGTGTCATCAGACCTTTGACTTCTGTGCCTCTCATTGTTGCTTAGAATATAGACTTTTCATCAATATAAATGAGGTAATTAGTCTTAAAGACCTTTTAAATACATTATGCAGTTAAGACCTCTCAAAGACCTCTGACTTGTAATGATGAACAGATTTCAATCTGACTCAAAGGTCTGGTCCCCAGGAAGCATTTGTTATAAATGGTAGTTGCCTGAGCAGCTTGATCGCATTAGTATGCACAAAGGATAGTCCCCACCGCCCCCTCCCCCCACACAAAAAAAAAATAAAATAATTTACTCGCCCTCATGTCACCCAAAACCCATAAGACTTTGGTTAATCTTATTTTTAATGAAACCTGAGTGGTAATCACATATGGTAAACATGGAATAAAAAGCCAAAATTAAATCTGTTTATCATATAAAGCAATCATATCTCTTCACAAAAAAATCTGTAGAATAACAGAAAAGGCACTGGCAGCTCATTACTGGGACATTATGCATTAATTTTATGGACATTTACGTTAACCCTAAAACACAGTACAATAAAGTGCAAAATTCAAAATGGAGGTAAAACAAAAAAAGAAAAATAAGGAAAATTCCTACATTGTGCCCTATTTTAGCAGATTTTTTTGAGTCTTGGATTAAACACTCGATTCTTGTGGATTCATTTTACAATGCCTTTATAACCTCTTTGGATCTTTTAAGATTTAATTATGTGGACTTTCAATGAATAGACATAGACCTCGCAGATTACATTAAAAATAGTCAAATTTGTGTTTGGAAGATTAACCAAAGTATTGTGGGTTTAGAAGGATATGAGGGTGAGTAAATAATGAATAAAACATTGTCGTGATAACTATCCCAATGTTTAAATACAGATTTTAGTGAACAAGATACAATATGGATGTACTGACATAATCTAAAATACAGTGTGAATCCTTTGTTACAAATGTATATTTCCATAGTCACATTTAACTATGATACACAGTACCGAATAAAACCGATAAAATGTCAGATTACATAAATACATTAAGTAAATATGATGCTGTTGAACATATTTAATGTCAACCTATTAATTCCATGAATTCAATAATTAATGATACGTTACTAAAGCTGATCATAAGTAAAATGCTTGTTTTAGATGCTGTCAATAATGTGCGCTTCAGTTTCTAAAACATACTTGTGCTAGAACCATACATTACGTACGAACGTGTTAAACTGACTCGCAAATACAGCACACTCTCACCGCTGTAGATTTTAAATGAGAACTAAAGAACTTTAAATGAGCGATTCCTTGTCTAAGCTTTAAATCACACTCTTTTAATACTTTCAGTACTCAGGGCATTTAAAATTGCTTTACAGACATGATTTCAAATGCTGTTGACTAGATGAAGATAGATCCTAAAGCGAGCCCTATATAGAGACGTAGTGAGGCTACAGGGCGGCCTCACGCTCTCTGTATAGCCTGGCCCAGCACGCTTGATCCCAAACATGCTTTCATAAGCTTTTTCCATTGTGATTTAAGGCCTCGGGATATAAGGAACTCTGACCTTTCAAATAGCTGACTATAACACTTCAGATTTGATTTTTTTTCTCATATGATAAGGCTACAGTGAAGCGTTCAATTGTCCTTTGTCAATCCTTTGTTCGTGCCTCTGCCTCCCAAAATTGTCTTTACTCTGGTTTATTGTTTCCTGAACAATAGCTCTGTTCTCAGCACTGACAGTCTGTGTAAACATCGCCAAATGGTTTCAATACAATGACCAGCTCTTAAAGAGTGCTCGGACAGATATTCAGCAATTGTTTTGGGGCACTTTGGGACAATGAGGAGGCTATCAGGGTTAAGGTGAGATACCGGAAATGGAAAAAGTGGAGGTGGTTCAGGTGCATGTGCGAGATCGAGCGAGTGAGTATGTGTGGCGGTTGAATGATGGTTCATTGTTGACAACTCAATGAATGCCTGGGGGAAACCTCTCATAATGCAACATTTGGGCTGCCGCAGTATTCTCTCACGGGTTAATGGAAGAGATGTACAGAGAACTGCCACCTTAACCCATAATGTATTCTTCACCAGCACTCATCATATCAGTAGCAGGCAGACCTCAAGGAAATGTACTTTGTGCTCTTTACACAATGTGGGGAAAGTGCTTACTGTGACTGCACTTAACACAGAGCAATGTGGAATCCTAGATTAACCTTGCTGTGATTTGGCTAATTTGGTTGGAGTGACATTTCCCAGAGGCTACGACAAGTCTCTCTTGAGCTTTCAAATAACTCTTAACATGCACAATTCGGGAGGCGGTCGATGTATTTCTGGCACGTAATCGGTGTCTATTAAGCCTTTAAGATGCTCCAGTTTGTGTTTTTTTTTTTTTTTTTGGTTTATAGCAAACAAAGGTTGATTTCACGAAGGGATCCATTCTTTATTAAATGTCACTAAACCTTGGTAATTTCCACTTTTGGTGTAATCAGTAAGATAAATGATGGCTCATTGTGAAGTCTCTGTTAGAAAAAAGAAAATAAATCACTGAAGTAAGGGAATTATGGAGTGAGTTAATCACTGATAAAGATCCCTCTGGTTTTTAGCTGGAGGAAGAAATATGGTAAGTTGTAGTCAATGTTTGTTAATTTTGTAAGTTTGCCTTTTACCTGGAACAGTTGTTTTGATAATGTGACGACTGCCATTGCTGTGATTTAAAACAGTTTGCCCTGAAAAAGTATACATAATTAAGTGAGTGTGGTTTTCATTTAATTACATACAAAAGATCAAACCAAGTGATAACTGTAAATAAATAGCTTTTCTCACAAACAACACTTTTCTTTGCTATTTTTGCAATATTTGACTAACTGGTCATTTTTCATTTAGATGGTTGAAGTCGTTTTTCTCACAGGTGTTTTAGCACCTTGTTAAAATGATGTATTATTAAGAAAATACTTTTGGAAAATATTTAGCTTAAAGTATGCACAGGCTATTTTTATTTCAAATAAATGCCACTTTGTTTGGCATTCTGCAATCTAATGCAATTACATTACAGTGTTATACATTTTTTTAAAGAGTGGCTCAAGTGTCCAAATACATTTTTGGTGTCACTGTATATCAGAACAGTATAACATTTAAACAGTATAAAATTTTGAAAAAAAATTAAACTTAAAAAAACCATGAAATTCAGATTTATTTTTAGATTTATTTAAATTAACGGAAACTAGTTTTAGGTAACAATAACAATTCAGTTTAGTTAACTACATTTTATAGCTTAAATCTTGATGGGTGAACAATCTCATACTATGATGTTTACTTCTTTTGCTCTGATGTCCAACTGCCTTTTCATCTTTGTATAGCCAAATATGGGTTGTTTAGCATGAATGTGTTTGATACAATTTGTCCTATTTTACAGTCTTTGCCTCTATTCATTTGTAAAGCATTGGGAGCCAAATAGCACCTTGTCAGCTCAGATACACATCTTAGTCAGTTCCTTGATAACCCCAAAGAAAACTATTTTGTTCAATTGTTCAGTTTGTTACCTGCTATACAGAGGTAATTGTTTTCATGCAACACACAAATATTCATGCAAATTACAAAAGCATGGAATAATTTGGAGCTCTTGTGTTTCTATCAGTGTTGTAGCAGCTAGTCAGAATGGTATTTGTGCAAGGAACAGATCAAAATTTCAGATTATGACAGAAGTAGTGATTTCTGATTTTTGAAAGAATCATTCTTTTAAGTCAGATCCTTTCAAGGAATCAGTTGATCCAGTGTACAAAAACAATCTGAATGATTCTTTCTTTACTCAGATTGATCTGGTTCTCAAGATCAACTGACTCAAATCATATCTCAGCTGTTACCAGCTGACTGGACAGCGATATCAATGAATAAAAATATACATACCCATCTGTTTTTCATACAAAGCTCCCATATGGCTTCAGAAGAGTTGCAATGTAATGCATAAAACACTACAATCCCTATTCATTGTAATTGCATGGAAAACTGCTATGCATAAGGGTGAGTAAATGATGACACAATTTTTGTTTTTAGGGTAACCAACTATCCCTTTAAAGCTTTCTTGATGTCGGATCTTGAAGCTCTATGATGCTTTACAAAAGACTTGGTAAAAACACACCCCTCCTAAAGCCTCTCCATCCTCCTTTTTTTGCATCGCTCTCCGTGCTGTTTTTATTCTGTGGGGGTTTTGCTGAGTCAGAGGCTTCTCATCCATATGCCAGTGCAGGATTTACCTCTCTGTACCATGAGAGATATTCACCTCACTGTAAAGTGGGATATAAATAGGTTTCACTGAGGAATATTACAATAAGGTTGGATCTGGTCTGGGGAACCTGGGGAGGTTTTTAGTCCAGTAGAAGCGTGGCAGCCCCACGCTGTGCTATATTGCCTCTCATTACTCAAGGACCTCAAGTCATATTTGTCATATTGGCACAGTTCTGATTTCCTCACAGTATTTGACTCCAATAATATTCCTCACTGTGTGAATCAGGCTCACAGGGGAGATGCTTCCCACTGGATGTCTAGCCAACAATGCAGTTATGTGCCTTAATAAAGCTTTTTTCAGTTTTCTGGGTGCACTTGGACATCTTTTACTGGCTGTTGAGACTCAATGGTGTTTGTACCTTTAAGCATTTAAACATTAATTAATACATGCCTGCAGAAGAACGTTTCTGAAGGATTGTGCTTGTTTATTTTCTTGCGTTCACAGCCAGGAAGTACGAAAGCGGGGAGTATTTAAATATCACAGGCATCACTCGGGATCAAGCTGGGGACTATGAGTGCGGCGCCGAAAATGACATCGCTTCACCCGACACCAAGACCGTGAGAGTAACAGTCAACTGTGAGTACCATATACTACTTCTTTTGTTTCTGTTTGTTTACTGTCAGACAGTGTAGATTCACATGCACAATGACATTGAGTCTTTTTTTGCCCTCTTACTGGAGATACCAGCTCTGTTCCATAACCTAGTGAGGCTGTCAACTGTCTACTGCATCCTAACTGGAATGGGACTTTGTAAGTGACCGATTTGGAAAGCTCTACATAGGCAGCAACTCCATGCATCATATAAATAGCAGTCCTCTTGGAAAGCACACAGAAAATTTGACTCGGAGGTGATCTAAAGAGAGTGCGGTGTTACCATGTTGCTAAGCTAATGGCACAGTACATGTGTTCAAATCATTTTTAAATTACACTAAACTTATCGATACTGACTGAAATATAAAGAGTTTAGAATTATATAATATATCATTCAAATTAATAATGTAATGCTATATATTATTATATAGTCACACTTTAGATAAGGGACCAATTCCAGTTAATTATGACTTTGGCTTCAATAAACTCCTAATTTGCTGCAAATGGGGTACGATTAAGGGATCTAAAATATGGTAATGCAGAATAAGGCATTAATATGTGCTTTATAAGTACTAATAAACAGCCAACATGCAAGCTAATTAGCAAATAATTAATAGTGAGAATTGATCCTTAAAATAAATTATCGTTATGTTTATATTAATATAATTATAGTAATTATAGGTAATTATTGTTAACTAAAATGGAAACTTAAACCATGAAAAATTTGTTACTTCTAGGGATGTAACGATTCACTCAACTCACGATTCGATTCACGATTTTGATTTCACGATTCAATTCGATTCACGATTTTATTTTATTTTTTACAAAATGAGATTTAAGACAAATTATAAATTAAATGTGTCCTTTTATTATTGCTTGGACAAAATGCTGCCACATTTCTTTGTGAAATTGAAATATAACACTATAATAATATACTAATATAGCACTTGCATATTACTGCCCTTTTGTTGGTTTTGATTGCTTCTATTGTCCTCATTTGTAAGTCGCTTTGGACAAAAGTGTCTGCTAAATGACAAAATTTAAATATAATGTAAATGTAAATAACTAAACTAAATTGAAATTTAAAAACAAGCCCCAAATCAAATAAATAAGTAACACAAATAAAATAAATCTCTTCATATAAACAAACTAAGGCTTTGTCTGTGCTCTTTCCATTTAAAATGAGAGGCAACCACTGCATTTTAATCATGATCCAAACAAAGATGATGCATACATGCAACATGAGCAGTTTTTAATCTAAATTAAACTGTATAATTTCGAAATTTGAAGCAAAAACAGAATGGTTTGACTTCAGTTTT